AATAAATTGGACATTGGCAAAATTAAAACCTTTATGCTTCAAAGCACACTGTTAAGAGAGTGAAAAGGCATCCTACAGAATGGGAGAAAATATTTGCAAATCATACGTCTGTCAAGAGTCTAATATCCATAGTATATAAAGAATTTTTATAACTCAACCATACAAAGACAAATAACACAATTAAAAAACAGGCACAGGATCTGAACTGACTTTTCTCCAAAGACATACAAATAGCCCACAAGCACATGAAAACACATATAACATCATTAGTCATTATGGAAATGCAAATCAAAACCACAATGAGATTTTACCTCATACTTACTATGGTAGGTATAATTAAAAACTAAAATGGACAGTAACAAGTGTTGGCAAGAATATGGAGAAACTGAAACTCTCATACACTGCTGGTAGGAACATAATATGGTGCAAGTGATGTGGAAAGCAGTTTGGTGGTTTCACAATAAGTTAAACATAGAAGTATTATATGATCCAGCTATTCCACTCAGGTATATACCCAAAAGAATCGAAAACAAGTATTCAAACAAAAACTCGTACATGATTGTTCATAGCAGCACTATTCACAACAGCGAAAAGATGTAAAGAACCCAAATATCCATCATGTGATGAATGGATAATAAAATATGGTATATGCACATTAACAGAATGTTATTCCACCATAAGAAAAGAATAAAGTACTCCTACATGCTACAATATGGATGAACCTAGAAAACATTATGCTAAATGAAAGAAGCCAGACACAAAACGTTACATATTGTATGATTCTACTTATATAAAATATCCAGAATAGGTAGATCCACTGAGACAGAAAGTAGAAAAGTAGTTGCCAGGGGCTCAGGCGAGGGAAGATTAGGAGTGATTGTTTCATGGCTACAGGGTTTCCTTTGGGGTGATGAAATTATTTTGGAACTAGACAGAGGTGGAGGTTGCACAACACTGTGGATATACTAAATGCCACTGAACTGTATAAACACTTCAAAATAGGTAATTTAATGTGAATTTTACCTTAAGATGAATGAATGGGAGAAAGAAAGAAAAACCAGACTCTTTAAAAACCTTTCATTTACTACAGAAGAATAATTATTTATGCTTGTGAATACCTTCCAACTTGGATGCACAGTTCTTTGTCATTATGTCTATGTATAATCACATACCATTATTTCCCAAATACATGATCTTAAGTCTCACCCAATATTATATGTTTTACAACATATTACATCCCAGCTGAGACCTGTTAAATCGGCATCTACAAGAGAAATCCATCTCACGTAATTCTTTTTTTAAAAGATTTTATTTATATATTAGAGAGAGAGAGAGAGAGAGAGAGAACAAGTGGGGGGAGGGGCAGAGGGAGAGGGAGAAGCCAACTCCCGGCTGAGCAGGGAGCCCAAGGTGGGGCTTGATCCCAGGACGCTGGGATCATGACCTGAGCTGAAGGTAGACGCTCAATGGACTAAGACACCCAGGCGCCCCTATCCCATGTAATTCTTAGTATCAGACAAGTTTAACTACTATTTAGCACAATTATTTTTTCTGATGAAAAATAAAATGATTTAGCTATATTGTGGGTGACAGGTAAAAGACTTTAGTTAGAAATGTTAATCTATTAAGCAGAAGGAACATTTACTTATTTTAATCAATAATACGAATTTCTGAGTAATTCCTTTAGGATAAGGAGGAAAATCATCTGTGATTACTGTTAAGTGTTCCCACTCAGGATAAAGTTCAGCTAAGTAGGCATTTTTGAAAAAGACAGCACTGCCAAGTATTGGCAACAGAAATTATCTTGCATTGTTGGTAAAAGTGTAAATTGGTACGGTCCTTCTGGAGAAAAGTTTGGCAACATGTATTAAAATTTAAAATGTAGGGCACCTGGGTGGCTCAGTTGGTTAAGCGACTGCCTTCGGCTCAGGTCATGATCCTGGAGTCCTGGGATTGAGGCCCGCTTCTCCCTCTGACCCTCCCCCCTCTCATGTGCTCTCTCTCTCTCTCAAATAAATAAAATCTTTAAAAAAAAAATTTTAAATGTACATAATCCTTGATCTATCCATCTCACCAACAGAAATTCAAACCAAGGAGATAATTAGATGAGGTGTTTGTTTGAGGATATTCATCACACTAATTAAAACAATGAAAACTGCAAACAATCTAAATGTCTATTAATAGAGTCTTGGGTAAATAATTAACAGTGCACTAGGAAATACTGTGAAGTCATTTAAAAAAGAAACCATCTACATTCATTCTTCATAGGAATTATAGAGTGGAAAGGGCTCCAATTATGGAGAACCTCTGTTTTTTTCTTGTGTCAAATTCCATTATTCCTCCGACTTTGAACATTGTTTTTTGGCATACAGACTCTTTTTTTTTTTTAAAGATTTTATTTATTTATTTGACAGAGAGAGACACAGCGAGAGCGGGAACACAAGCAGGGGGAGTGGGAGAGGGAGAAGCAGGCTTCCCGCTGAGCGGGGAGCCCGATGTGGGACTCGATCCCAGGACCCTGGGATCATGACCTGAGCCGAAGGCAGATGCTTAACGACTGAGCCACCCAGGTGCCCTGGCATACAGACTCTTACACTTAGCTTATCACACTGTTGTTAATGCTTGCCTAATAACCAGTGGCTCTCACCATACTGTGAACTTCCTGAGAATAAGGACTGTATTGTGTCCTTTTTCCAGAGTCTACAATAGTGCCTGGCACACGAGAAGTGCTCAATAAATATTTGTTAAATTAGGGGTGCCTGGGTGGCTCAGTTGGTTAAGCATCTGCCTTTGGGTCAGGTCCTGATCTCAGGATCCCAGGATGGAGCCCCGCATCAGGCTCCCTGCTCAGTGGGGAGTTAGCTTCTCCTTCTCCCTCTGCCCCTTTCCCCTTCTTGTGCACGCTCTCTCTCTCTGACAAAATCTTTAAAAAAATTTGTTAAATTAAATAAAATTAAGAAATACAAAAAAAGGTATATGTTTTTAAATGCTTAAATACACTTGTAATCAAAGAAATATAGATTTTAAAAATGAAAGAGAATTTTCTCCCAAATTTGTCAATAACAAAAGACACCCACTTTGGTCAAGGATAGGAAGAAATGGAAAAAACTATTATGTTGTAAATAGTAATCATCACAATATAACTAAAGGGCAATTTGGCCACATGTGTGTAGCACACAGCACAGATTCTGAGGTCAGACAGAACGAAAATGAACTAGTTCAAAAACTAGTTGTCTGAACTTGGGAAGTTATGCAGCACCTCTAAACTTCAGTTTCCTCACTTGTAAAGGAAATCAGATTTACTAAGAAGTAAATCAACATGATACTTAGAGCTGCAATATTGCAGCTTATTAAAATTAACAAAGAGCTACTTCGATCTATTTTATTTTTTTAAATTTATTTATTTAAGTAATCTCTATACCCAGTTGGGGCTCAAACCCCTGACCCCAAGATCAAGAGTCACATGCTCTTCAGACTGAGCCAGCCAGGCGCCCTACTTAAATCTACTTTAAAACTAAGCCATGTGTTTCATAAGAATCTTCCATATAAAATAACTAATTAAATTTTCTAAAAAAACGTGGGTATAATTCATTAATTCATCCCAAAACTATTTGTTGGGCACAGTATTCAGCAACTGGTTGTGTGTCAGGCACACGCGCTAATCACAGGGGATATAACAGTGAAAGAACTAAGTCCCTATAATGGTAAGAGAGATAGGAGAGTGAATCTGAAAATATATGGCAATGCGAACTACTGAAACATGTGGGTAGAGAAGTGGAGAGGCTTTATGAGGGGACACCTGAGCAGAGACCTGACAAGTGATAAGGCAAGTTACGTAGATGTGTGGGAAAAGAGAGTTCCAGGAAAAGGGGCAGCGAAAGCTCAGTTGCAGGAGCATGTGACAGCAACAGACACCAGCACGGCTAAGGAGGGGAAATCAACCAGGAAGGGTTATAGGAGGTGAATTCTGAAAGGTAACCTGTATCAGACTCCGTGGGGCTCTGCAGGCCAAGGAAGGGATGTGGAGTTTGTTCCAAGTGTGATGGAGAACAGTGGAAGGTTCTGAGCAGGGCAATGACATCATCATATTTTTACCTTAAGAGATTTACTCTGGCTATTTTGGGGTAAATTTGACTAAAAGGGGCAAGAATGAAAGCAGGAAGGTCACTGTAATAGTGTGAGTGAGAGACGGTGGCTGAGAACACAGAGCATCTGAAGTGGCGGTGGTAAGAAGTAGTCACGTTCAGGATGTATTTCAGACATAGTGCTGTGAGGATTCCACTTCTAAGAACCTAACTCAAAGATTTCACCATTGCTATTCAAGAAGATTTAAATGCAAGGATACACAAAATAGGCTGCTTACAAAACTTTATACAAGTTGATGGTTTAATAAACTCTGGTAAAGCCACAAAGCGATAAACGAGGCATTTAGAAATGATGATTTTGAACACATGACGACACGGAAAAATGTTCATATACTATGTTAAGTGAAAATAACTGGTCACAAAACAAAGCGTTCAATGTCAATCCATTTTGTCCAAATAAAATGTATAGAAAAAAGATTGGGGGTGCCCGGGTAGCTCAGTTGGTTAAGCATCCAACTCTTGATTTTTGCTCAGATCATGATTATAGGGTCATGAGACTGAGCCCGTGTCAGGCTCTGTGCTTAGCGGGGAGTCTGCTTGAGAGTCTCTTTCCCTCTGCCCCTCCCCCTGCTCGCCTGCTCTCTTTCCCTAAAATAAATAAAGAAATCTTAAAAAAAAGACTGAAAGTTATACATCAGCATGCTAACAAAATATCTCTCTGGGTTGTGAAATTACCCATTTGTCACTTTGCTTCTTTGAGCTTACCATATTTTTCAAATTTTCTGTAATGACAATGTATTACTTCTACAGGAAGAAATGATTTTGAAAATGTAATACTGAGAAGAACATTTTCAACAAATAAGATTACTGAAGAATAACCATTTCAGTCTGTTAATAGTTTTCTTTGTCACTTACCATTACTTTTCGCAAAGTGTATCTTTTGGATCGAATATCGTCCATTAGCATCTCATAAGGGGTGAGCTGATATTCAATGGGCAAAGGGTTGTACTGCCGCTCTTGGACCTTCTTAAGTTTTACTCCATTCCGCAAATCCCTCATCACCTGAACCCAGAATCGAGCCTAAAAGAACCAAGGGTGGAGAGATGTTCATGAATAAATTTACTAGTTTCCTCTAAATAGCTAGTCACAGAGAAAAAATGAAGAGCTTGGTTTGCAAAACACTGAGTAAGCCAAACAAAACCACTTTTTAAAATTAGGTTTAAGGATATTAAAATGTGGAAAGAAAGCCAGTCAAGATTCATAAGCTCTAAGTGCTGAGTCACCTGAGTGTAAACCCTACTCACCTACTGTGGAAGGCTGCATTAATGGGCTCAGTCCTGTTACGTGATTTTGCTCACTAAAGAGGAATGTATGTCCCACACCCTAATACTGGATTTGCCTACGTGATTTGCTTGGCCACTGAAACAGTAGTTGAAATGATGTGACCAAAGGCTGCAAAAGCAAATGCACAATGGGCTTGTCACTGGTGCTTCTATTATTGCCATGAGAACCTCATGCCTGGACTGACAGGCTGCCCAGGAGAAGGATGAGACATACATAGAATGGAGCTACCACAACTGATCGGTACACTCATAACCTAAACAAATGTACTGCTTTATGCAACTATGATTCTGTAGTGGTTGGTTAGTCAGCATTACTGTGACCACAGCTAATTGATAAAACCACCTATTAGCTACCTGACATCCAACAAGTTGCTTCACCTTTCTGAACCCTGGATTCCTCATCAATAAAAGAAAATGGTACTTCATAACTTGCTGAGATGGCCAGAACTGGTATACAGTGTTCTGTACACGGAAAATGCTCAAAAGTGATCATTTTTATGTTATCACTATCTTTGCACAAATTATTTAATATCCATTTTCTTAACAAATAATGGTGAGTTGCCTTGTTGGCCCTTCAAGAAAATGAGATATATATGAAGTTCTTATAATAATATAAGACACATCAAATATGTATGTTATTATTATTACTATTATTATACATTTATCCTTTTATTTTTCTGCCTAAAAGCTAAGATGTAGTCTCTACTTCTGTGAAAAGTAAATCATTATGATATCTAACTGAAACACTGTAGTTTGTTGAAATTAATAAGCGGCTCAAATAGCTACTTAAATATATTTATTAAAAACCAAGTGATAAGGGTGTCTGGATGGTTCAGTCGGAAGAGCAAGGGACTCTTGATCTCAGGGTTGTGAGTTTAAGCCCCATGTTGGGTGTAGAGATTACTTAAATAAATAAAAAAAACTTTTAAAAAAGTGATGTATTTCCTAAGAATTATCTACATAAGATAACTCTGGATTAAATTTCTCAAAAATGTCTTCAAAAACAATTTATGATTTTAAAAACATGAATGCCATTTCTTATTCCACAGAGGATTTGACACACTACTGTGGTATATATCCATTAGAATACCTTCTAAAATATTCCTATTTTAAACAGATTCTTAGATTCTACCATTAAAATTACTCTAATACAATATTCCTAAAATATTTAGATTTTTCTTTTGAGAATGCTCTTGTCCCAAATTCTCTTATACTCATTTCTTTAAGATCCAGTTCAAATATCATCTCATCCTTTAAAATTCTATCTCTTTTCTTGACCTCCCCAGGCTTTAAGAAAAAACTGACATATGTGAAACTTTGAATTCTCCAAAAAGATAAATTAGAGGATAATTACTCACATTTGAAGATTTTGCTATAATTACACAAGGATTCAAACAGACCTTTTATATAGCCAGTTCTTTATATATTATCATTTGGCAAAAATTTTCAGAAATCTAATTCAGAAATTAAAGTCATAGTAGGCATATAAAATAATATACAACTGTCATTGTATGTATTCCCAGAGATTTTATTTACCTCATATTCCACCAGGGAGATCCTGAGATGTTTAGATCCTGCCATTAAAAATCCTAATTCTCCCTCATTCTATTCCTCATTCTTTACTCATTTCTTTCTAATATTTCTAAATAATTCATTTTAATGGTCTTACAAGAAACAGACTGGTGATCTAGGCAAATGGAACTCTCCATGCAGTTAGTGCATCTCTTGTCAGTGATCCTACTAGTTTTTAAAAGAGCTTGCCTTAAGGCAATAAATTAAATTTTTAGTTCAAGTTTATATTAACTGTTTGCTAAATTCTGACCACCTGGAGTTATTTATCTGGTTTCCATGTCTAAGAAAAAAATTTAAAAATGTATTAGCCAAGATGAAATACACCTGGAAAAAGACTACCAGAGTATTCTATACAAAGGAAACTTGATAATCAGTATTATTCTAAAAGGACCATACTCACCTATAAGATATTACAGCCTACTTGTTTTTTAACCTTACTCTTAAATTTTCCAGATTAATATCATTCCAAATATCTCAGCAAAGATATCATCAATAAATTAAGAATATTTACATTCATACATCAACACATGTAGATCCATACAATGGAATGGACTACTACTAGTAATAAAAACATTAAACTATTGATACAGGCAACAACATGGATGAAATCTCAAAAGAATTATGCTGAATGGAAGAAGCCAAGCAAAAAACGGTACATACTATATGATTACATTTATATAAAATTTTAGAAAATGAAAACTAATCTATAGTGAGAGAAAGCAGGTCACTCATTGCCTAGAAACAGGAGAAAGGAGGCAGGAAGTAGGATTACAAAGGAGTATGAGGAAACTTTGGGGGGTGACGGAGGGGCTCATTATTTTGATTATGGTGATGGTTTCATAGGTATGTATGTTGTGTGTACATGTCAAAACTTATCAAATTGTGCCTTTTAAATATGTGCAACTTACTGCATGCTGATTATACTTTAATAAAGCTGTTAGAAAAGAATTAAACAATTAAACAGTTAACATCTAATATGGTCAAAAGCAACTTGTTCATATCCCCCAAATCTGCTTCTATTCCTAGTCTCTCATTTAATGATGTCATTATTTAACCATTATTTCCTTAACCTGAAAAGTCAGAATCCTGAAATGTGCCTTCCCATTGACACCTGAACATACCTCAGTCTAATTTCATGACACTGACTCTCCTGTCCTCAACGCTGTCATGCCCACCCAACTCTAAGTCATATATGAGGGCAGGGACTCTTGGTTTCACAAGGATCTAGAATCATGCCAGAAAAACTGGCTACTTAAAGTGTGTCGCATAAATATACTGCAATCATCTGTGCTAAAAGTCTGTCTTCTGTTTTATGAGGGCAGAGATCCTGTATTATTCATTTTGCATCCCCAGAACACTAATCCAGTAACTATTCATCGGATAAATGAATGTACATTATAGTTTCACACCTTATCCTGAAACAGAACTTATATTTTGACTTATGAGTATGCTAAAGTAGTAATATAATTAAAAAGGTCAACATTTTAAAATACCTAAATTCTCAGAAGACATTGGGGGGTAGCTTTAATAAAACCAGTTAGTTTTGTAAAATGGGGAATAGATATTTCCTCAAATATAAGACTAGGCATTCAAATTCATACAATATCAATTCGTATTACAGCCCTTAGTAACAAGCATTTTATTTTATTTTAAAAATATTTTATTTATTTATTTGAGAGCAAGAGAGTGAGGGAGAGAGGGAGCATGAGCAGGGGGAGGGGCAGAGGGAGAAGCAGGCTCCCCAGTGAGCAGGGAGCCCGATGAGGGGCTCAATCCCAGGACCCTGGAATCATGACCCAAGCTGAAGGCAGACACTCAACCGACTGAGCCACCCAGGTGCCCCAATAACAAGCATTTTTAAAAACATTACACTATGGGGCACCTGAGTAGCTCAGTCAGTTAAGCGTCCGACTCTTGGTTTCGGCTCAAGTCATGATCTCTGGGTCCTGAGATCAAGCCCTGCGTTGGGCTTCCTGTTGAGTGGAGAGTCTGCTTCCCCTCTCTGTCCCTCTGCCCCTCCCCGCCCACTCATGCACTCTTTCTCTCTCCAAAATAAATAAATAAATCTTTTAAAAAACAAAACAATACCCCAAAAAACACATTACACTATGTCTTCGACACTAAGCAGAACAGAGAATGTCCAACTACCTTACCCAGTCAGCATTTTTCAGCTCTTCCAGGTCTGTGTTAGATTCATCACTTTTTTCCATTTCTTGAATCTTCTTAAGATTCTACCAATTAAAATAAAAAGAAAACATTTAGGTATAAAAATTTCATTAAGCCACCTTCTCAAATTAAAATTTCTAACAGATACCTTCAGACAAAGTATATACAGAAGTGTTACTGAAACAGTACAGAATCTACTTCTCTGTAGATTTCAGTCAATGGTAGGCTAGAATAAATACAATACTACAGAGGGATGAACTGAGATTGATCATCCTAATTTCCTTCTAGGCCTTGTGGCTAACTTTGTCACCACATTAACTTGTACCCCTAAGCTGTAGTGACACTGCCCTTTCCCTCAACCTCCATATTCAATCCACCATTAAATCTCAAAGATATTACTTCCTCCATATAACCTAAGCCCTCTTCTTTTTATCTCCCCTGCAGATCTCTTAATTTAAACACTATCTAATTTTTGCCTGATTTCTGATGTGGTCTTGCCCTGGATGCTCTCCTCTCCTCATCCCCAGGTCTGGTCTCTTTCATTCCTACTTCTGCTCTTCCTTCAGATACTGGGCTCAACAGAATCACCAATTCTTCAGGAAAGCCTTTCCTTGCCCCTCTTCCAAAGCCAAATCTTCCTACTATACAATGGCGTATAGCACCATACACCTTCCTCTGTAGCCCTTATTACACTGTAATTCTACATTTGTTTATGCCTTCCCCCTAGCTTGCATGAAGCAAAAGTCTATTCTCAGGGGCTAAAATAAGCACTGGCACTTTTCATGCTCCATATATATTTGTCAAATAATTTCATGAATAAATTTCAATATGTAATATGCTTTTTATTATTTGATACATGTGTATACTGCAAAAATCGTTAGTGCAATAAGGTAAATTACCACCTCCACCACCTCATATAATTACCTTATTGTGTATGTGGTGAGAACCTTTCAGATCTACTTTCAGCAACTTTCCAGCATGTAAGACAATATTGTTAACTACAGTCAACATGCTGTACATTAAGTCTCCAGAACTTATTCATCTTAGAACTGCAAGTTTGGACCCTTTTTTGCTTATTTTTTTATTTTTTTTATTTAAGTATAGTTGACACACAATGTTACACTGCATGAAACTGCAGTAATCCAACATTTGCAATTTTAAGAAAATCTTGATAAGTAAAACATCTATTCACCTATTAATTACCAGTTTGCGTTATACCATTCCTACTCACAATAAATCAACTCTAGTATATTTTACTTTCCGTTGAGCCTATTTTCCTGAATGTATGTGGACTGAGTTTAAATGTACTGTATGAAACCTAGTTTATTTTACATGAAAATAATGAATACTTAATAGAAAACATTTCTAAACCATTTGTTTTTGGCTTCTCAACATCTGAGACTGACCTTCCACAAAATGAGAATAACACCACCTGCTTATTTTTGTACTTAATAGTGTATAGGAGTATTAATATATGAAGAATAAAATTACTCTGAACATTTGAAGAAAATGGTATAAATAATGCATTATTTCTTCTCTTGCTAAGAAAGAAATTATTGGGGGGGGAGTACTTTTACTTGTCTCAGAATGTGTTTCCATAATGACAGGTAACTTCCGATTTCTGAAGGTTAATGTGAGCCACTTCACTTTAACTGAAGACCGACACTAGCACCTACACTGTGTTTTGCTAGCTGAAAGAAATCCAAAGAAATTGTGCTTTTAAGGAAAAAGCCATTACCATCCTAATGTAAGTCTTTCATAATGTAGGTTTTCTGTAAAGGTGAAGTGGCATAATGTGAACTTTTGGAAAGCAGGGGAAACTGTATTTTATTTATTTATTTGTTTATTTAATTTTTTAACATTTTGGAAACCGTATTTTAAAACAAAGTCTGGTTTCTTGTTTGAGATTATGTAGTAAGACACTTGCTACCCGAGTCATGCTACATTACCATCTTTGGGCCCGTGTTTCTCCACCTTTAAGAGGAAGGTATTAGTATCTACCTCACGATGCTGTTGTATTTAAAATATAATCAGTTAAATATAGCAGAACCTTGCATTTACAGCCCCTGGGGAAAAGCACCTCCGAAAACATGTACCTCTGAATTCTCTGTACTGCCCCAGCCCCACGCCCGAATCCTCATCCAGAGCCTTGCTCTTTTCCAATGGTCTTGGCTACTGCTCTTGGCTGCAGCAGGCTGTGGGGAAATAATGAGAACTAACAAGGGCTAAGGCTTCAAGCAGCCAATATTTGGCCCCAAGCACAACTCTTGTTACGGCTGGACTCACAACTGAGGCTCCCCAAAACTAAATGACATGGCTGCAGTCTCCCCACAGGTGGGATGGAGCAGAGTGAAGTAGGTAACAGTGGCATCAAGGTCTCAGACATGAGGTAAGATGTGCGGAAGGGACACCAGATGAATGGTCCTGTTGGGAACCTAAGAGTCCTGTTGCTGACCCCAGTGGCTTAGAAAAGTCTTAGAAAACAGCTGGATAAAGTTGTACTTAACTTTTGCTAAAATTAGTATTTATGAATTGATATTACACAAGAAAAAAGAACAGTTTATAAATTGTAACTGGGCTTTGCAGATAATGGGCACTTAATATCTGGTACAACATTATGTCAAAATCTGAGTAATAATCCTTATTACTAAAATCAGGATTCTTCGTTTTTCTGTATCTAAAGACATACCAGATGTCCTGGTATAAACAATATTTCTGATATTCAAAATACCTAATTTTTTTGCTAGGGATTATTAGTTGTTATTTAAAAAATCTCTGATGATTTAAAGCCACAGTTTTCAACTCAAGTCCACAATCTTCATCACGTATTCATATTTTGAATTCAGAGCTGAGCAGCGAGGAGACCAAAAGGAGAGGCACACACACATTTATTTTGTTCCTATGAAGACTGTAATCCAGGCTCTATCCCAAAAACAATTAATGGCTTAAGGTATATATTATTCTATTGACCAGAAGAGTGTTCGTTCTAGATTTTTGTAATTAAAATAGTGAAAGAAAAGAGATTAAGGAGGTGAACTCCCTCTGGGCACCTAGGCACTCTATCAGGCTATGACGTCTCTATCAGCAGCAGGGCTCCTCCCTCCCCAACCCAAAAAACCAAGAGCTGAGAATAAGTACTTCATCTCTATTTCTTCCCACTCCAGTCTTAGGGCATTTGCATCGGCTGTTCCCTCTTGCCAGAATGCTTTACCCCACATATCCACATAGCTAATTCCCATACATCATTTTTGCTCAAATGTCACCTTCTCAATGGGACCTACCTTAACTATCCTCTACAAATCCCAAGCTCCATGCCCTGCCCCTAGCAATTCCCCTAGTCTATGCCTTTTCCCAGAAAGCATCCTCATTCTAACAGTGTATATGACTTACTTAATATGTTTACTGCCTGCCTCTCGTTGCCAGATTTTAAGCTTCATAAGGAAGTATTTTTGTGTATTTTGTTCAGTGATGGGCTCCTCAAATCTCTAAAAGTATGCCTTGCATTTGGTAGGTGCTTGGTAAGTATTTATTGAATAAGTGAATTAATATCTTTCAGCCAAGAACAGTCCAACTCTTAAATCTCCTCAACAGTTCTTATCAACTTTTTTTTTTCTTAAAGATTCCATCTATTCATTTGACAGAGGGAGAGAGAGAGCACAAGCAGGCAGACAGGCAGGCAGTGGGAGAGGGAGAAGCAGGCTCCCCGCTGAGCACAGAGCCCGATGCGGGACTTGACCCCAGGATGCCGGGACCACGACCCGAGCAGAAGGCAGATGCCCAACAGACCGAGCCACCCAGGCACCCCTCAAGTCAACTTTATTTACTTATTTATTTTTTTAAGAGAAAAGAATTTTTTTCTTTTAAAGATTTTATTTATTTATTTGAGAGAGCGAGAATGAGAGAGAGCGAGCACATGAGAGGGGGGAGGGTCAGAGGGAGAAGCAGACTCCCCGCTGAGCAGGGAGCCCGATGTGGGACTCCAGGATCATGACCTGAGCTGAAGGCAGTCGCTTAACCAACTGAGCCACCCAGGTGCCCTCAAGTCAACTTTAATAAGAAGCCCAATGAAAGGGAAAATTATTCAGAGGAAAACCTGAATTTTTTTCTCTAAACTCAGAATCCACTGGAGGGGTGGAGAAGAAAACCTCTATTTATGCCACACAGAAAAATATGCTCTCCAGTTCAGGGAGATAAATATGTAACCCAAGCTCACATTACATTTAAGTGTCTCATTCAGTCAACAGATGATAAAATAAATAATAAAATAAATAAATTAAAAAGAAAAATTAATAAGCCTAATACCACACAGAAGAAATGAAGTAATAATAATACTAAAAACAGGTCAGTAAGATTCAGTCAGCATCAAAATAAATTGGTTTGAAACCTTAATGCCTGAGAGGATCAAGTATGTATACATGTGCCAACACCATAACAACACACCTTCCCCATCTGTAACCAAGAGCACAAAGAGCCCCAAACTGCACTAAATTTTTTCTGTCGTATTTCCCGTCAGCTTAAGGCTGATTCCACGACAAGCACTATATTGTTTACCAAGGATCTATAAACCAAAAGATAATGGAAAAAGCTGAAAACATGTAGGAGAGGCTCATTTTTACAAGCCTATATATATATACATATTATATATAATTTTTTTTTTAAATTTCCAATGGTCTCTAGCCCTTCTAGGATCCAAACAACAGAAAGCAAAACAAACAGTATGGATACAGTAGAAGATGGGCGGTCTTTGGCAAGATGAAAATATTTATCTTTTTTTGATTCTTACTGCTACTACTAAAGTTGATTACAGCAAGTCTCTCAACTGTTCTTTCTGCTCCAGTTTCTTCCTCATTTGGTTTATCTCTTCACTCCCCTACAATGGGTTCCCGACTGTCTCTGCTGGGGCCTTCAAACTGGGGTACCTGTACTTCTGGGGACCTCTGGTCAAACACTACAGCGATATGCCAGGGAGCATTTATAATGACATACGTTACTCACAGATAATGTGATGAAGGCTGTGGTCAGCTGCCCAGGTGCACCCCCCGCACCCCCATCAGGAATGAAGTAC